AAATTTCCATTTCCTAGCTCTGCCAGTTGCTTAATCAAAAGTGCGTAACAAATGCGTGCGAATGCACACAAACACAAACGCACACACAGAACTTTTTGTCAATATGCTTTTTTGCACTTGCACAAATTTGCAAAACTCATAAAACCAAGATTATTCAACCTTTTTGTCAGCTTGCAGCCAACCAGAATATGCGCCAAAAGGATTACGAACCTGGGTAACGATATCATTGGCTTCAGCCTGAGTTTTACTCATCAACGTGAGTTGTGCTTTCAAAAGTCGAACATTCCACGCGAAATTTTCGGATGCTCTGGTGGCCTTTAGACCTCTCAGTCCGGCGCTTAAACACAAAGCTGACAGCTCGTCGTAACACTCACTTATGCGCTTCGTCGCATCCTCCAGCTGCAATGTTCTGATACAATGTGGAAACACTGAGATACTGTGAAAAAGTTACTAAGCAACCGTGAATACTTCCTGGTTTCATACAATAATTGCTACCGCCCTAAAGATCTTTGAGTTTATCAAGAGCTAGCATGAACTATTAAAATTTACGGCATAGAACTTTGGGATGATTACTCTCAGTACTACTGAATTCTGTTATTACACACAGAAGTAGCCATCTCCGAGTTCTGCCCTGAATAATTGTGTGCTACTTATGTGACTTTTTCTTGCCATCAAAGTTGCTGGTTCTGTTTAAGCTATTCCAAGTAGTGCTTGTGTTTGATCTTCGCAATTATCTGTCGCTTTCCTCCAATTTTTCAAAAGTGAAACTGAGTCTGGCAAAGCACATTTATGAAACGCTTGACTAACAGTTCAAAAACATGTTCTCTATCTCATAGCCGCCAGTCAAGCTGATCTCAGTGCATGGTCAGCGAAGTAATCCAATCCTGATCCGACGTACAGGATGTCAGCAAATCACAAAAAGAAGAGCTAGGCTGATCTTGTGGTGAAAAAGAGGAATAAAAGTGGATCACTGAATTATCACGAAATGAACGCGGCACAGTTGCAAGTGAAATGTAAAAGCTTGTGTAAATTTAGATGGAGACGGAGCAGAATGAAAGATATGCCAGTTGCGTCGATGGCAAGGAAAAAATTAAGCAAAAGTGCCGATTGAAGTATCACAGCATGGTATTTAGCAGGTCGAAAAGTGCAGTCACATTCAAAGCCGGTGGCACTAAATTTCACTGGATTGCTGCGCAATAAGCATCTCTTAGCTGAAGTTGGCTTTCGAGTACTCATAAAACGTGGTACAAGGATGTGATCAAACATAATGTTAAGATGAAAAAAGTTATGTTCTGAGGATGCCTTTGAAATAACGTTTGTTTTTTTGTGCCAGCTGATGGGCCGCATCCAATTTTATTGTTCCTTAACAAAAAAAAAATTGTTCAAAGCAAAAAAAAAAATCATACTGGTTCTGTTATAATTACAGTTGTGCAGGAAATTTCCACTTCCCTACATAAATCGGCACTTTTTTAAAATTTAATTATCCCCTTCTAATAATTTGTACTACTTCAGTTAAAATTATCAGAACCTCCTTTTGCGAATATTCATTGGAACGATGATATGAAAATATGTGGACGAGAAAAGCCCAAAAGGGAGAATGGAGTTGCCAGCTGCATGACCGGCTAGAAGAAATGCAACGATGAAACAATAGCTGATCAAAGTATCAAAGTTATGCTTCTACAGCTCCCTTAAAAAGGGGCAGGGGCATCTTAAACGTGGCATTGTGCTGTAGATGTCTTACACTGCTAACGCTGCAAACATTTGACTTCATTAGTGTTGGATGTTTTTCAAACCTGGGTTAACAGTGGATCCGTGTTGACCAGTATTTTTGCACAGATGTCTAAAAGCACAGACATCGAGTCGAATGTTTTTTGCAGCTGCTCCGGGAATACTCCATGCGTGACGATCATCGGATACTGTAACGCACTTCAATCATTTCCCGCATCAACAATCTTTTGGGAAAAGAGAAAGCACGGATTTAATTTACTGCATTTCCTGCTGCGACAGCTGTCAAAACATCTCACTCAGTTTCGGAAGATG